TTGCTTGGAGGGAGAGTCCCCCTCCCTACGACCATGTGTCAGGGGCGGAAAAATGGCCACGACCCACATGTCAGGGGAGGAAAAATGGCCGCAGATCCGGTTCGTAACCCGAGGCGGAGTTCGCAAACCGAGATAAATTTTTGCGGCCGGAGCTGGTTGTAACCCGAAAAGTTCTTTAACAGAGGCGTTCGTAACCCGAGGTACCACTGTATTCTGAAAAAGGTTACTACACTTGTTGTCCATTGCTGCCATTTTCTGCTCTTTCCTCATAATAGATTTCAGATCTAATATAACATGACTGTTGCCTGCTCCACATATCAGTCATATTACCAAAAGTTCATTTGTTTGCCCATCATCTAGAATCACTCATGTTGTTTTCTTTCAGCAGTTGCTGTTGGTTAATTGGGTAAGCTTCTCTTCTCTCACTAGTTGTTTAAAATCACCCTCTGGTGAGCTAGTAGTTAAGATAAGATTTTAATTGGTTTTCTTCAGTTTACAGCTAGCTTTCCCCATACTGGTTGGAAATTATGGTGGCTTATTTCCATCATATCTGGAAGTCAATAGCTTGGGAAAGCAGTTCTTAAGATAATCTATTTGTTTTCAACTCTGAAGACTTTCTTTTCTGTAATTGAGATGACACGAACACCAAGGAAGAATCTGCCTGGCGAGAAAATAGACATGTGCTCATAAAAATTCTGGGCATTTCTTCTTTCGTGGTTGAATTGGATATATTTAATGTTTATTAAACCTGTTTCAGGTTTGTTAAACTTAGCAATTGAGAGCAAATTACTTCTATTTTAAAATTTGAGCCCTTTGAATGTTTTCTTTGAGGCTTTCCCCCAAACGCCAGTCTGCTTCTGGATTTTGTTTGGTCAGCTAGGGTGATTGCATTGGCAAATGCTTTTCTCCACACCCTGTTGCCACATGAAAATATGTTTCACAGAAACTCTTGAGGAAAAGCAATGAGGCCCTGGCATGAAGTAGAGCTAGTAATCATGATGGCCTAGATACAGGCTGATTTTGCGATTTTGCCTAATTGATATGAATCAGCAAATCACACAGGGATAGAAGTTGTATCTTATTACAGGCAAATGTTTGAAACTGGCTTTTGGCAGCTACAAAGCCTAAAGCCTGTAGTGCCTTGATATGGTGCCGTGGATTTTTTTTTATCATTAATCTAAATTCCAGCTGCAGATGTTCAACATTTTGAACACACAAGCTGGTATGGTGACATTGCAGAAGTGCTCTACAAACGGATAGAGGGTGTGCCTTGTTTGTGGTTTTTAATCTTGTTTTTTGGGAAAAGGAATAGTTAGCCTTGCAAGTCCACAAGAATATTCGTATAGGAAATATTTTATACTGGTTTGTAGCAAATTCATTGGAGGAATGTAATTACTAAGGGCCAATGTAGCATACTGTGAGGAGTTTAAGAATATTGGTTTGTTTCTTCCTTTTACAAATCTGTATAGTTAGTGACTACTAAGGATATCACTTGGCCATTTTGATTGTCAGATACTTTTACACAAGAGTGATTAATTCTCATGAACCTTTGGGGAAGAGTATGCCAATTATTGAAAATAATAGTAAATTGGGGCAGGGAATCACCAAATTTTAGTGGTGTAAGGATTGATGAAGCAGGAACCCCCAGTTCCCAGGGCAGAGATTAACTTTATATAAACATGCCAGGCTGAGTACATTTGGAAGGATGGGAGAAAAAAGCCTTGAGTTAAACTCCTGAAGATATAGAAGTCAGTTCCATTTTTCCAATGGCAGTGGGCAATCAACTTGTGTGTGGCTTCATTCTTGTCTGCTATAAAGATTCTAATCAAGCCAAGCCATGCCTGAGAGTTTTCAGCCAAATCAAGTCCAGGGGCTGAGCTACGTCATGGAGCTAAGCTATGAAGGATCAGGAGATTGTGATTTACTGCTGAGCTCAGGTTGGGGGAAATCTGAGAGGCGGTATTCCTACAGCAAGTTATCATCAACAAATAACTTACTCATTTGAAAACTGGTGCTCATTTATCCTGTCGTCTATTCCTTCAGTGAAACATTGACCTTTAAAAAGAAATCTAGACTTGTACTGTGAAAGGATAATGGCCCTTGACCAAATAGAAATTTTTACTCAGTTGTTGCATTTTGGGAATAGGAAAATTAATTCCAAAAGGAGTTGAAACAATGAGGGAGGGGGATTGGGTGTGGCACAGATTTATTAATCTGGATAAGAAGAATAGCTGTGATTCACTATTTTAGTTATTTGTTTATTAGTTGTACTGTATATGTCCACCCATCTTATACAACATAACTCTGGGTGGCTTGCCACAACATACAGGTAGTCCTTGCTTAACGACTGCTCATTCAGTGATCATTGAAACTTATGATGGCACTGAATGAGTGGTACTTATGACCAGTTCTTGTAGTTGCAGCCGTTGCAGCATCCCCATGGTCATATGATCACTGTTTGTGTGATGGAATGGAATTATGAAGGCCAAGCTCAGGGAGATAAACATTTTCTTAGCTCACCAGAAC